AATTTCAAGCCTTTGTGGGCACTTTGGCTCCGTCCTATTGATTACGTTTTGTTTTATGTCTTAACGCCTGCTGTTATTTGCGCGACTGACATTTCAAATTCTTCTTACAGTAGGAAAACAACTGAGCTGCAAATTTTTTCGAATGAGGGTTTGCGTGGTAGGAGCTGGTGTTTCTGGCCTACCAGCAATCAAGGCCTGCCTTGAAGAAAACATCGATGTTGTCTGCTACGAGAAAACGGCGGATTTGGGAGGTCTATGGAACTATAGACCAGGACAGAAGAATGTAGGTATCCTAGAAAGGAAGATTATTCAGAATGTGATGACAAGATTTCCAGATTGGCGGGACCGTGATGGCCTCCACAGTCGTTAACACATCCAAAGAAATGATGTCATATTCTGATTTTCCACCACCTGAGGACTATCCTAATTTTATGCATCACTCTAAGGTGGCCTTCAGACTATTTTAGGACCATCTCATTGTTATATTTCAAGGTATCCGAATATCTGCATATGTATGCTGAAAAATTCGACCTGCTCAAGCACATCCGATTCAACACGGCTGTGAAATATGTAAGCTGGAGTAGTTTAGTAGAGAAGCGGAAAAATACGTTTGTTTAGATTACCACTGAGGATGATGGCTACAGAGTTGAGCTGGAGAACGGAACAATAGAGCATTTTGACAAATTGATGCTCTGCACTGGACACCATGCCGAGCCTAAATATCCCCAACTGAGAGGTGTTTTGTAATGTTTCTCGAATCCAAAAGGTTGATTTACTCATATTTGGTAACGCAAACCTGATAAATGTCAGCAGTTCTATGCAGCTACTGTTTATTATGGGGCTTTAATCTCGCTGTTCTTTCGAATATACTTTTCCCGGTTATTTCTCTCGAATGTACCATTTTTACGATTACGGTACTCCCGACTTGAGCCAAGGGGCTGATAATTTTTTGAAGCGTCTTGTCAAGATTCACTTTGTGCTACTACGATATCAAAACTTTAATGGTCGCTATGTCCAATTCACGGATTTCATCGGAGTCGGAGTTTTTCTTTTGATCTTTTGATGCGGTATGGAGATTTACTTCGTCACGTTGATGACAAAACCAGATCTAGCAAAATGAGCTTTCTCGGCTGCTTTATGTCTACCATATGAT